CCTTACGTACATTGTGATTTTTCAGTTACGGACTCACAATTGTTATCTTATACAATGACAACTACTACTTGTGAATATTCCTACATGACGTAGAATTAAACATAGTATATCCTGCTGCTATTATTTTCTGAAAATAATATGCAAATGCATGAGTTTTTACAGTACGTAAGTACTACTAGCTGACTTGTTGCAGCTAACCAGACCAATGGATGTGTTTGGGTGCGTGCTTTTTTCCTGACTGGTTGGCGCACCAAAAATTTAGGCAGTAGTTATGGATTGAACAAAAATTCCCATGGAGACGGGCGACCCCACGACTCAACAGGCAGCGTCGTCCTAGCGTGTGACGGTATCTCATGTGATCTATCTTACTCTTGTGATGCAAAATGAAATCAATTACGGTCATGTGATCTCTTGTGCTCCGGTGATGTCAAAATGAAATCAATTACGGTCTCATTTAGCGATTCAAACTGTTCATATTGTAGACCTCGATGTATACGTCTATGAAAAAAAAAAAAAGGAGTTTTGTTTGACTTCGGTATCCAATGGAATGAACCATATTTGTCTTAAAAACAACGACAACTAGTGTTTGACAACTTCAAATTAATGTGATTCAAACAAGCTTTTACCAATTCCAATTAAGTTGATTTGGAACATCAAAATTAACACATCAAGATCTACAAAATGTACGATTCAAATTGTCAAATGAAACTTTGATAAATCTCATTTAATATCACTTCAAGAATCACACAGGATTTTATATCACATCAAGAATCATACAGAGAAATCATCCTACGAGAGGATCTTTGTACCCCCAATCCCATCCCTACATCCAATTTACGGAGTAATTACGAATTAACTACTCCGTACCACAAGCCTCATGTCAATCCAAAGAAAGGAGAGAACAATCTTGGACCGGCCTCTCTTTTGGACGGCAGAGAGCATGTCATATCTCAGCCGGCAGAGAGCAGTCACATCTCAGTCACTGCATATCAGCCGCCCATCTCAATGGTCCAGGATTGTCAAAAATTACAACCGGTTTGGTCCAGCCGTCCAGGATTGTCAAAGATTACTACCAGTTAGAGCCTTTCAGTTCAAGACTCTGACCGTTAAGAATATCTCAACAAATCCAAAACCTTTATAAACATAGATGGGCAACCAAGATTACAAAGCGAAATCCAACAAATCTATAAGATACCACTTCCATATTGCAATGGCACGTAATTCTCAAATAAACTTCGATTGATTCCATAATATTCTTGGGATCTATTCGCTAGACCAAATTACAGGTCTTCATGATCGAAGCAAATCGCCACAGGAATTTCCAATCCCACCCTATAAGCTACTTGAATCATTACAGTTATCCGAAATGCAAGGATCTTGTTACTGGTACGCCTAAGTTGAAAAGTAATACAACGTAACAAAGTAAACAAACAGAGCCAAGGATGACTTCCCCTTCCATCAGCATCCACATTCTTGGATCAACAACCAATCACAGAATAAAGATTCAGTTGTTTTCGGACATATCTCTCACTGCTGGACTGAGAGATGGTGCTGGTTCCCACCACCTTGCACCACCCTACTGAAGCAAGAAGGGTAACCGGAGAACCTGAAATCTTGTTGCTGGAAGAAATTTTCACTGCTGGAGACACTTGTAATGTTAGAACAAGAGGTTGACGAACAAGAGGTGTTCGAAGCACCCTCTTTGAAATATTCCGATGAGTGAACAGTGGATTCTGCCATCTTAGTGTTCAAGTGGAGCTGTGTTGGGCCAGAGATATCTTTTGCATTAGCAGCGGATGTTGGTTTTGGTTCTTGGACCTTCTTTGTATTCAGAAATCGTCCACCGGATCCTCTAGCCCTCTTTAAAGCATGTAGATGGCGGGATTCATGGAGATAAGGCTGCGATTTTGAAAAGAGACTAATCAGGGAATAATGCTTTTTGGGCCAGTTTGATTAGTCGGATTAGACATGATACAGATCCTGGGTGAAATTATTTCTTACATGTGCATGCAACAACAAATGGAGAATTTTTCGTATTCCTTGAACAACTAATCCTACAAAGCATGGGATATAAAATATTTCGGGAGATGTGACATGGTTATTACCCCACTATTAGTCTGATTGAATTACTCATCCTTTCTGGAGCGTTTGTTTGACTGGACTACAATTGGAGGGATGCATAGTACCATGACTCCTGTCTGATAAATAAACCTATCGCAGCAATAGTGAAGGATTAATAATGTCACACTCCCATGGTATTGTACATCTAACGTGTTGTAGGAGGCAATATCTAATGGAGATTTAACCATGACCGGATATGTGGTCCCCGTGGATCCCATCCAGATTCGCTTTGGTCCTGACAAATAAACACGGGCTATGATTCTACTATTCATCGCTTCAGTTCAGGATTAGTCCGGCAACTCAAACATGGCTTTTAGCCCTTTGGGGCCAAGCAAACACAGCACCACTCAGTCCACTCCAGACTGATTGGTGGGAGTACACAAAGGAGGAAGCAGAAATTGACCCCAAAAAATGGGCTCATACCTTGCGAGATTTTGCGAGCTTGTTTTGAGCCTCAAGCTTGGCACGGTATTGTCTCCGCCTGAGAATCGCGCGATACTGTTTTGGATTAACATATATGGGCTCGTCTTGGTGAAGATCAAGAGGCAGTGGCACTCGAGCAGATGGCATCCCCGCCATTTGGGGATGATGAATCTGGTGACACTTCAGTGGTAAGTACCTCATATAATGGTTGCAGATAAAACACATATGGGGTGGTAAATTAAACACCATATGTGGTGCAATCTAAATAACGAGCTGGCCATAGATAGAATCAAGGACAAGAATATTAGTATCCATACAACCTCTGAATTTTGAGGAATCCATCCACATGGGAATTTTCCCAAAATTTAAGTCAGGCATTGTCTTCTTCCCTACTTTAACTAGCATCTATACCTTACTAGCGTACGGTTATCCTTCTTCCTTCGTAAAAAAATAACCAAAGATAAGACCAGAAAGTTAAGTGCAAGGAAAAAAAAAAGAAGTGGAAGAAGAAAAGCATAGGAGAATAAGAACAAAGGAGATGCAAAATCAAAAAGAACTCGGGAAAAATACATATTTAGGATGGCAAAGTTCTTTTATAGACCTCCTTTGTTAACTCTGAAGAATCTCAGTCAGCATAATATTAGTTTGATGAAATTGATTATGATGAATGCTAAAGAAGATACTACAAGGTGAAAAGGACGTCTAGCGTGTAGAGTTCGCCTGCTCACCCACACAAAATGCTTTGAATAGGTAAATGACCCCACCCTTCTCCCAGACACTCAAGAAGATGCATAATGTTCACATCATACTGCCAAAGGAGCAAGTATTTTTTTTGTGGTGGACCATCAGCAAGTATTTAGTCAGCAATAGCATAAATGGATCCCATCTCCTCCTTTTCTACTTTGTGAAAACAAGTGTACGAGGCAGACAAAATCAATGTAGAAAAGTCAGATGATGGTAGTAGATGCATGAATGTGCAAGACAACAGCCACTACAAGAACGATTATAAGTACCTTGAATTTGGAAATCATAAATTTTCAATCCATTCTTAGGAGCAAATACAGATATGGAATTACAAACCAGCACTTGAAGGCAGAAAACCACCACAACAGTAAAGCCAGAGTTTTGGATTAGTAAGTATTTGAGATATAAAAAAAAAACCCATTGTATAGAACTATACACCGCAAAAAGAAAATTGAATAATTCCTAGGAAAGCACTTTGAATAGACGGACAATGGATCACTCCACTAGATGACCCTTTTACGGGGGGAAAAGGACAGCTAGCCTGAGCTTTGAATTTGACCGGGAAGTGCATCAAATAGGTCGAACAAATGGGGTATAATGACTCTGGTATAGGCAGAGATTATAGTTTCATCGCATTTGGTATTAGGAGAGATTAAATGGAAACAATGGTGTGAATATTACTAATAAAGGCCAAAGAAATAAGTCTGCATAAACTCTAAGGCCGATCTACAACCAAAAAATTCGCCAAAAGCTCTACAGAGGATCCAACTAATAAACTAATTCCTTTATACCCACAGAAAAAAACTTTCCTCGGGTTTTCTGTTAACCACAAACACTCTCCAGGTCTACAAGGTAAATTTGACCTCCTGGTCAATGAAAATCATTTGTCAGTTAGTAATTTATCTTCTTTGAATTAAAATCTCCTTCAATGTCACTAAAGAGCAATTCGAATGTATTGAGAAAACAAACAAGATTGTGCTTCATATGTACTTACCATAGCCTGTGCCCCATAAGCAGCCAGTAGCCCACTAAAGTACGAATCTCCGTAAGAAAGAGGAACACAAGCCTGGAAAGAAAGACAGGACTGTCTTCAAAACGATGTAAAGAACAAGTGAGAACCAACTTTTAATGGCTGCCTGCTGGTATTCTACTCACAATGGATTGCCCGTAATTAAGTTCTGAAGGAGGCAGAAGACAATCCTGAGTTCCCATCAATACAGCTGCCTTAGTTCGACCCACGGTAGGCTTCCCAAGAGTTCCACTATATCCTAGAAGCAAAATAAAGGCCAAACAATAGATACCAAGACCAATGAGAAACGGAGGGCAAAAATGACAAAAAGCACATAGCATGGCTCATCTTATTACTATTTCGGAGGCCATTCAATATATTTCCTGAGATAAACACCATATAAATAGAAATTGTTTCATGCAAGTCTTCAAATACTTCTGTAAGTCTGTTTCGCTTGCTAGCTTTCAACCAAAGACAAACACCACATACACAAAAGGGATATAGGCATCGCAACACGACAAAAAGAAGGTGCAATCCCGGAAAAAAAAAAAAAGAAGAAAAAACTGGTTTGAAAAAACTCGGCTTGTGCAGTTTTGTTCACTTCCCATTGAAGTGACGTAATGATACAACTATCAACTGGATGTCTTCAACTGGCACAATTCAAACTATAGCCTTACAAATACAACAAATTACTTCACTCTGGGGCTGATAGCGGGAATCAAACCCGCATCTTCTCCTTGGCAAAAAGAAATTTCACCATTCGACCATATCCGCATTTTTTTGCTCTTGATACGCAATATGTCCCCACATACATGATATATCTGCATGGATTCTATTTGTGTAGCACCGGGCTAGAGACTCTCTTCAGGGCAACTAGTTTATTCATATCTTTTCTTTTTTCATTCTAAAGTTTGACCCCCCTGAATTCTTTTCCATTGTGAGACACATTAAAATGGAATATAAATCCCCTGAATGCAAATTAAAGATCTTGTTCAACTTACTACAAGTGGAGGCAGTTCAAAGCCATCTACAAATTCAATATCCCGCGCAATTCTGTCCCCTTAAGCAATCAAAACAACTCAACCAGATCTACCCAGCACATACAAATAAGTAACTGAACTAGAGCACCCACTCTTTTCCCCAGCTTTTATCAACTTTTAGATAACAAGTAAATAACTATGACTTCCAAAACCCAAAAAGTCGTAAATATAGAGAATGTCCATGATTACCCGACTGCAATGAAATTATGCTCCCTACACTAGCTGCTTCATGGTAAGATTGGCTGGTGGATTGAGTAGAGGACGAGTCCTGGTCTTGAAACTGAAAAACCATTTGCTTGACATTCTGGCCAAGTTGATTTGGAGTAAACATATTCAAGCTTAAATTCTTCGAGATAAATGATTGTTCAAGTTGCGATCCACTTGACGTCCACCAAGATGCACCTTTAGCAACATATGTAGCCATTGATTGGGCTGAGCTCAAATCAGAATCTTGCATACAAAAGTCCTGCATTCTTCGGCAACTAATAAATCAGGATAGTTCAGGCCAAAATTGCAAATGGTGCATCAAAATCATATTTTATTTGGTTCTGAACTGGTTTTTATCAAAAGTATAAATCCCAAATGAGTGCTTGTTTAGCTGGTTTACCAGGTAGGCACTGAAAATGCTTTTTCCTACGACAACGTTTATATTCCCCCCCTAAGTATAACTAAACGGAATTTGAAAACCTATTCTCAAATTTTAAAATTCTTTAATTGACACGAGCAATTTAGAAGGGGGGGAAAAAAATTAATCGGTTTTTTGAAAGAAAATTTGAAAATCAAAACGAACAATCCCAGAATCTTCCAAATGGGTTGTGTTTGATTAATGCAAAACCAACAGTACAGCTTTGAAAAGGCAAAAATATCACTGCCGAGCTAAAAATTCAAAATCCCCACATGCAAGATGCAACCATTACCCATTTTTTTGAACATGAAAACGAATCGAAACAAACAACACAAGACATGAAAAACCAAAATCATAACTAACAAAAGGCAAAATATATATAGACCCAGAAGGGCTAAAACTCAACCCCAAAAAAAAAAATCAATGTAACCCATCTTGTGAACAACAAAAACCAATCGAATCAACCATCTACCCTATTAAGTTTCAAATTCCTTTCAAGAAATTACAAGCTTTTTTTGTATACATGCAAGAAACCTACATTAGCCTAACCTAAGGGATAGGAAGTGGGACCCTACTATAAGAATCAAACTCAGGACCTCATTTTGGTAAAAGGGAGCACCTTTCCAATTACCATGCACCCTTGTTTTCAAGAAATTACAAGTTAAATCGAGACAAACATAATACAAGTGATTTCAAACAGAGTTTAACACACCATATCTAAATATGTGTGTGGGTATGAGTCCTGTCAAATGGGAGAATCAAAGGCAGAAAAAACCCAGACAACTATACAAGTAAAGGGCAGAGAGAGAGAGACCTTTGGGATTTGGGTAAAAGAGTGGAAATGTTGGGTCGGAGTTGGGCATGTCTCTTTTGTTCAAACCCCACAATCTCGCTCCCTCTCTCTCTCTCGCTCTCTCTCTCTCTACATCTATATATATGTCTCTCTCCCTTATCGTCTTGGCTTTGCTGCTCCTATTCTTCTTCTTCTTCTTCTCCCACTTTATAAACGGAAAAAACTCGAAGTACTACTCCTAACGAATAGCAATCCAGCCCTGTTATTAATTGTTTATTGGTTTAATATCTGAGAAATGTTTACTTGTTCTAGCTAATCAAGTAAAATAAAATAAATTAAGCAACAAGGCTCCCAATAAATTAAGCAATGTTTAAGAAACGGGAGTCCGTCTCTCACCGCCCCACCCGAGGGCGGAGGGAAAGGATATCAAAGCGGGGTCACTTAATCTCACTGAGTTCAAGAAAATCATTTACTCCTATTTTATTAGATTTTGACGTCTGATCCTACGTGTATAGCAAGAATAAAATCTTGAGTCTTCTTTCAAAAATCAATTGCTACGCTGAATAAAAATCATATGTTTCTTGTGCTTAAAATTTAGTTTCTATGCTTTGTCATTGCCGAACTCGACTAATGTTTTGAGTAGCTGATCGTTTCTTGCACTTTTGTCGCCCTCTTGGTTATTTTTTTTTATTTTTATTTTTTTGCATTTTGTACGGATTGTCAATCACACCTAAAACGATAGATACTAAACCCATCAAAATATGGCAAACTCACCCAAATCAATGGGTACCGACCCGATTTTTACGGCTGTACCTATCAGGGCCATCTTTACCCGATTCTCAGTTCGGGTTCAATTTTATATCCACACTAGAACCAAACACTAATATATACCTAATGCCCTCATACATACACGAACATGTGGTGGTGCGGAGAAAAACCGGACTGGCTTTTTCCGAAGAAACCGAAAGGAAAAACCGGACTGAATCGATTCCTATCGAGTATGGTTAAAGGCAATGCGTAAGGAAATTCGTCGGGTTTCATTTGGGGCACAATTTTAATTACAAGTTTCAGGATCCTCTTGGACTCTCTGCCATCTCTAGACCGTTGTGCGATTGTGTTGAGCAATGTTGTGATGAATTCTTGTTCAGATGTGCAGTACCTCACAAATCTTTTGTTTACCCATCTGTAATTACGTATTTTTAGTTCCCTCCAAATCCCACTAGACAAATGAGTTTGTTTCTTTTTTCCTTTTTGTTTTTATCGGGTGTCATGGTCCTTTTTACATGCTCTGCCTAAATTTTAAAGAGTTTCAAAGTCAACAACTGAACAATTCTTCGGTAATCTCAAGAGTTTTTTTTATGAATGATGGTAGTTGAACCTGCAAGCTCTGAGGTAAGTCATGCATGCTAGCTCCCCTGAGCAACCACTTGGAGATTTCCGGCAATGATCCTGTTGGAGCCCTAGTTTATGTCTTCCCTTTCTTTCTTTCGTTTTTTTTTTTTTGTTGGCAACAGACATGAACTTCGTTAATAAATAATTGAAAGAAAATTTAAAGGTCATAAAGCAACTGATGATGTCAAACCTAGCTAAGTTTGACGATGACAAAGACTTGGTATAGTGTGTGTCCCATCCCTAAGAGCATCAACAAAAGAGTATATGTCTCTTGTAATTAATAACCGGAACAAAAGAACCTAAGGCTTGCTTATTGAGTCAGCTGAATATCATCATAAAGCGCATTCTGCAACAAAATTATTCAAAATTTCAGGACCGGAGGCCTGTTTTGGCTAAATAATCCACTTAGAATATCAAAACTTCATCTTGTTTTGAGCTGAGTTGGCATCTGGAATTAAGTTGTTAGTTGTTATCGATCAATATGTTGCATCCAGATGTACAACACATTTATTTAATTTAGAGTGTCAATACCTATATGGAATCCAGGGCCGGCCCTAATGTTTGGGTTGCTCAAGCCCGACTCCAAACTTGGTTGCCCACATACTAATAAGTTAGTGAAAAACAAATAAAAAACGTATAAGTAAAATAAAAATAAAAATAAAAATCAATGTTACATTGTGATTTTAGCTTGAATGACATCAAAAAATTTACCATAAAAAAAAAAGTAACTCTGGTTATATTATTTTTTGATTACCACGATGTAATTTAAAGAAAACAACTTCTTGCATCTCTTGAAGTAAAATCTTCAATTAAGTTGTTGTACTTTGGCTTAATGATGTATTCATTTTCAATGGAAATTATAGTCGATCCACTTAATCTCTCGTGTGACATAATAGTCCGAAGGTAAATTTTATGTGACATCAACTAAGAAAAACTGCTCTTCGCCGAAGCAACTGTTTTTACAAATCCTTTTTGGCAAAAAAGCACTCTACTATATAAGGTTAAAATTAAGTGAGTAATATTTACCAACATAAATATTTTAATGTCTATATCAGTTATTGTAATCAAAAGAAATATAAAGGTAAATAATTTGACCAGAACAAAAGAAGATATATTACAGGAAAGTTTATTTACCAAATAATAAGGCAATTGATAATGCCAAAACCGGAATTATTCCTGCCAAAACCGGAATTGTTCCTGCCAAAACTCTACACTTTCTTGCTGCTACACTTACTTTTCTGCCCTAGCTTACTGCATAGGGACTTCCACCATCAGCTCTCTCATCTTCCTTTAAGCATCTCCAGCAATTCCTAGCCATTTGGGCTAGGAAATATGTCAGAAATTAAAATAGCTAGCCTCCAGCAAATACAATACCCCAGTAAACTAGCCTTTTGGCTATGCAAAGGAAAAGAAAAACGGTAACCTGCAAAAAAAACAAACGGTAACCTGCAAAAAAAAAAAAAAACCAACAGCTATATCTCCACCAGTTTTCTTCCACTTCCAACAACTATATACATACTAGTTTTTCCTTTCATCTATATTCTCCACCAACTTTCTTCCCAGACCATCTCAATTTAATTTTTCTTTTATCTTATTAACCTTCACTCTTTCCCATATTTGCTCTCATTTTCACCACCATCTCAATTTTAGTTTTGTCCATACATCATTTCGTCTTTCTAAATTATGTCTCGCAATGCTCCACAACCCTAGAGTATAGAAGGAAAAGAGGATGAAACTTCGCGCGGGAGCGGCGATGAAACTTGCGCAGGAGATGATGAATCGAGGGGAGGAGAGAGGGAAAAGCGGAAGAAATCGATGGAGCGAGGCTGAAATACCTCGCTCGGATGAGCGAGGTACTGTAGCACCACGCCAGTTCGCCCACGATGAAGCTGCTGGTTTTTGCTCTTTTTGTGCTTTGGCTAGC